ACATATGAAAAATTTCAAAGGCTCAATGTCATGGGAAAGATGATATTCAGAAACTCAATCCCCATTTAGGGTTTGTATCTCATTACAAAAATATTTATTCCTTAAAAAAATACACAAATGTAAAATACTACATTTTCTATTATATCCCCACTTACTTTCCAAGTATGCCATTTGGATGTTGGACTAAATCAAAAGGTAGAACACCTTTTATTTCTCTAGCAACTCCGTATGCTATCTTTCTGCTTTGATTAATTTGTTTTATCTCTATGATTTTAATCAGTAGTGAACTTAGGTAGAACAGCAGGGGATGAATATATAAGCTGTCAGGGAAGTCCCACTTAACGTTTGCTCATGAATACCACTGCCATGGCAGCAATGCTGACTTGGGACCTAATTGGACCAGATGCTAAGCACCATTTTGTTTTGTGTTTTTCTCAGCAGAAGTAGCAATGCTCAGAGTTAGCCTCTAGGATTACACCACCCTGGGCAAACTCAGCAGTGCATAAAATCGGTACAGGTACAGAAATAACACCCAAACTACACCCTGTGTTAATCGTTCATGCCCTGATCTTGCAGACACGTACACATATTCCCCCTGTGAGTAGTCCTGTTGACTGAAATAGGTCTACACACAGCAGAATTAGGCGTATGTGTTTTTGTTTGCAGGGCTGAGGTCTTCTATTGCACTGGTAGAGGTACGCTTCATAGAGAAGGGCTTGTGCACACTTCTCTTGCTGGGGATTGAAAGATAATGTTGTGTTTATACAGCTTTGGAATACAGCCTGCACTTTTTGGAAAAAAATAAGGAAAAGAAAGATACAAAAAGAAGAAGGAAACCCAAGAGTGCTAAGGCAAACTGTCAAATGGCACATCATACCTACTTTGTCATTCATTTAGATAACATCACAAAGGCAGACCAGAGGAGTTCTGTAAACATATACCATACAGTACATCAGCCACAGGAAATTAAAAAAAGAAAACAACCCTGTAATTCTTTTCTTTCTGTATTGATATTCTTGTAATTGAAAGAGATTGCCTAGCCACTAATCATAATGCTATGGTTTTTGATTTGTATTTTTCTTCTGTTAAAACAAAAAGAAAGAATGGAAGTAAAATGCAGTGGTTTGCAAAGAAACAGTCCCTGAATGCAAACGAGGGACAACATGGAAAGTGGGTTCATAGAAACTTAGAAAATACAAAATATAAAAAAGTTTCATAGGTTACTTTTTCCCAGTCTAGGAAAAGATACACTGAAAAGAGGTTTTTTTTTTGTTTTTCTTACAAAAGTTAAGGCGAGCAGTTTGTTGTGGCAAAATGCTATCACTGAACCAGTTTCTGACTCTACTTTTTTGTATCCCCTCATGCTGAAATTGAAAATGTACATGTGGTGGAGAAAGTTAAACAGACAGGGAGTTTGCTTAAAACAATACAAAAAACCCCTGCCATAATGATCCTTACAAAAATCTCTCTCTGCTTGACCGTAGAGCAGACCTCTTCCTTCACGCCTGATTGTGCATGAATTTCCACAGGCAGCTTCCTATCTGAGGGCGAGGGGAAAACCGACCCCTTCGAAGCCCAAAGGAGCCCTGGAATACCGGTTTACATTCATCAGCATAGGCTAACACATCTGAATTTCCCTGTAACTTGGCTGAAAGCTAGCGTCTAGAAGGGATGAGCCGATGTCCAGGCACGGCTGCTGCCCTTGTGGAGGACTATGATTGGGGTAAGCGTGTTTCTGCCGACATAACTAAGGCTCTCTGAGTTCAGACTGATTTGCTCCTGTCTCGCATTTTTCCTGACCTCAGACATGGAACTACCTTTGACCCGTAAAGGCAAACCCTATGCAGACAAACCTTTAGCTTTTCTGGATCTATTGGGGCCCATTAACCATGGAGTTCATATGAACACATAAAAAACACTGGCCTTCCTAGGCACTCAATGTTAGCTACAAGTACTGAGCAGTAGGTATTTGGCAGGTTTAAGGTTTAAGGCTTGTGCTCTACTTCTAACCACTAAAGGGCCACTTCTGGACTCTTGCATGTCACCATCTCCCTGCCACATTGTGCCTTGGACGGTGCAGTGGTCTCAGACACGTTCTGGTCTCAGCCTCAGCAAGCATCTCCCAAAGCTGGCTGCTGAGGGAGTCATCCCCAAAATGCTGAGTCTGTGCTGAACCAGAAGGTCATCTGACAAGGGAGCACGTGGCTGACGAGATGTATGGACCGAGCGGGTTAGGGTAAAGACGACACCCCAAATTTCCCGAGAAGAAAGCTTCAGGAAAAATGACCATAAGGGAGAGGAGCGGCAGGGGGAAAAGTCACTGGGAAGCCAGGGTGGCCGTGAAGCTGGCATCACACCCAGTGAGGGATGGGTGGTGAGCAATGAGATGACCGGCCAGGCCAGGAGGAGATGGCTGGCAGATTTGTTTTCAAGCATTCCTGGTGAGGTGAATAGGCCCCAGAGCGAGAGAACTATTGCAAAGCATGCCCACCTCCTGTGGCACTCACGGGGTAGGGGCCAGATGGAAAGGGCTTCACCCTTTGCATTGAAATGCTTTGGCGTCCTAAACATGCCTGAGGACAGCCTCGCCAGGCCACCCCAGGGCTGAAAACTCAAGGTCTCGTTTTAAGAAATGTTGAGATTTGTAAATTCTTAGCGCGTCTGGGAAAAAAAGAAAAAAACCCACACAACCCAACCAAAAAAACCCAAAACACAGGTTGCTAATTACCAACAAACAGCCACCAGACCTGTTGTCACAATGCGGGGCTCTGCGGCCGTTCCCCTCTTTGATAAAACTTAACCACCTAAGCCTGAGTCAAGCGATGATGTGCAGAGCTTCTGTGGGTGAATTTGGTCCTTCTCCCATCCAAGAGCCCCTGGGGGAGATGGAGGGAGCATGTGGAAGTCTATTAAATCTGGCCACTGCAGCAGATATGGAGGCCAGCAAAATTTCTGCAGGTGTAATGTGGATGTGGCTGTCTTCTCCTACTCTCTGCTTGCTTTTTTTTTTTCCTGACTGTCACCTGGGCAATGGTGAGAAGTTACATTGACCAGCTCCATACTGATGGCTGAGTGACCTGATGCAGGAACTACCTTTTGCATGTTTTTTGTGTATGTTTTCAGTGTGCCTCATATTACCACCACCGTGAACAAGTGTCTTCTTTACTGGCACAGAAAGAAAAGAGTACAGAGCAAGAACTCTGTTTAATCGGATGTTCTGAACTAACAATTAATGCAGTAAAAGCACCATCCAAGAAGAACAGAAATATCATAGGAACCACCTCAGACTGAAAAGAGGCTTTTTGTTGTTTTCTTTCTTTCCTTTTTTTTTTTTTTTAACTTTTAATGTTGTTTTTCAGTTGCTGTTACTGATTTTTGAAGTCTGATAGTTTCAAAGACACTTCAAAATAATCTTCGGTACTTTTTAACACTATCAGAAAATGTAAATCCTGATTTTTAATCTCACTTACATAATTATAAATCCAGAATAACTCCACTACAGTGAGTGAAGCTACACATAAGCGAAACAGGTGTGAGACAAGAATCAGGCTCATAATATCTTGCCATGAAAAAGTTGGTTGCTTTTTCATTGTAGTTAGAAGAATCAAAGAAACATGTACTGATTTTGGATGCTTTTGCCTTTTTACATTTTCACCTGGAGTTGTTTTTAACAGGCCTGATTTTCAGAGGGGAGATGAAGAAAAATTTACTGGAAATCAGGCCTCTTTGAAGTGTCCCACACCAGAAAATGAAGCATCCAAAACCACCAGCAGTTTTTGAAAATGTTAGCCTTTTGGCTGTAGGATCTTCTCCCGAAACAGCTACTCCAACAAAACTCTGGTGGGCCTCCACGGGAGTTTTACCTGGGTAAGCAGGGCAGGATCAGACCTATCACCTGTCCTTACATAGGTGCACTGGAGGTACACTCTATGAGAAATTACACTTCCCTAAGAACTACAAAATAAAACTCTGGCCCTGCCCCCATTTCCAGCACTGAGAATTTCGTTACTGAGTCCAGTGGGAACAGGGTCAGACTGTGAGAGAAGTTCATTTATATTCTAAGGAAATAGAAAGCAGTATCTCTCATCTACTGGAGTTCAGCAGGAAAACTTCATGTATAAACATTGGCAGAGTTACTGAAAGGCAAGTAATTAGATCAGTGACTCCATTTCAGTTGGTGTGACAGCTGCATCTTTTTCACGTCAAGTTAATTTCGACTGTAATTTGGGGAGATGAAGTACACATACAATACTGTAATCTGGAAGATTTATATAAGGCAAAATCATCATTCATACATTTTCTAGAAAGAATAATTAAGGTCCACTTTTGGTATCACCAATAAGCAGAAATGGCTGATGGGTTTTTCTGACACCGCAAACTAAACTGGAAAGTTACTATAAAACAGAACTATGCAAACTTTCTGGGAAAGACTTGTCTGAGTTTTAGCAAATTAAAACAGTAAAATGATCTAAGCCTTCCCCCAAGAAATAAAAAATAGGATCTATAAAATAATGTTTAAATGTGATTTTTCTTAAAAAAAAGAAGGAACATTTTTTTAAGGCTCTCATATCTGGCTGCTGTGAAACTCAGAATCCCACCAAATCCTAGGAATCTGATCAAGCCTGCCAGATATCCAAAGAAAAATGTAAAAAGTGTTTTCATTATATATATAATATATATATATAAAAATCAAATAAATATGAAAACATTTGTTCCATTTCCCATTTATCTCTCACTCTGCAATATTAAGGAGAAAAAACCCCAACAACAAAAAAAAAAAGAAGCAAAAAATCCCCCAACGCCTCCCCAAACCCCAAATAGTACGTCTGATGGGAAAATAACCATGCGTTCCTCTTCCTGAAGAACTAGAAAGCAAAGCAACCCAACTGCAAGGCAATGGAGGCATTCACTTCCAGTTCACAGTATTGCAGTTAGAAGTACAGTGAGGTCTAGGTAAGTGATGGAGCAGGAGCTGCCTGGAGCGGGGAAGAAGGAGGTGTTCACATGACAATACAGCATTGACAGCGCTTTTTCTTTTGTGTACCTGGGGCAGCTTCCAAGGGCAGGCTCTCTTCCTTCCCCTCGGGAGAGGAGGGCTCTGTCGTGTCTGACAGTGGCCTGCCAGAGACCAGCTCAGCAGCATTCCCATCCATGGTGGAGACGTCCGTCACTGTCTTCTCCCGCAACGACTTCTCATCATCTTCATCGATCAGGACCAGCTCTGCCTTGATGGTCTCGTCATAGCCCAGCACTTTCTTTGTCTCCTCTTCGTCATCAATGTTCTGGTAGCCCATAAATATCATTGTCACTGGCTGATCTGTGCTGGCCTCTGGGGCTTCGCCACTGCAGGGTCTGTCTTGGGGCTGAGGGTTCACAGCATGCCCTTTGCTGGGTTTGTGTACCATTTCCAGCTTTGCCTCCTTGAAGAGCATTTGCTCCTTCATATGGCTAAGGTTTCCATCGGCTACCGCATTTCTGTCTGACACAGTCATTGTTTCATACCCTCCTTTTACACTTGATTGTCCAGCTTTTTGCATAAGTTCATCTACGTCCTTTGAGCTTAATTTATGTACTCCATTTTCTACCACTGTGCCACCAGAGTGAACCTCATAGACTACCTTGGTACCATCATCATAGACTTTGAATCCTCTTTGATGGGCCTCATCTGGGCCAACAGGTGAAGCAGAGACAATCTTGGTCTCTCCTGTCTGTTTGTCTTTCTCCACATTAATTTCCATGGTGCACAAAGCTTGAATGAAAACAAGAGAGGAAGTGCATGTTACAACAAAAAAAGCCAGTGAATGGTTAATTGCCAAACAGACAAAGAAAACTACGGTGCCCCTTTTCCTACCTCCTGCTTCTAAAGGGCCAAGCATTCTACGTTAGAGGTGGGATGCAACACTGTGGACAGAGATAGTTATTACACTACAGCTTTTTATGCAGCTGGAGGCTAGGCATACCTGTGGCAAACAAGACCTAGTCTTCCAGCTCATGCTGCGTGGAGCTGCCTCTGATCAACTAGGAGCGCCAGGAGCACTTGGGTTAGGTGTAATTTAGACAAAGGGAGGTGCCAGCATGCAGGTTGCCCTCAACATTTCCATTCTGAATTTGCCTCAAAATTCAGAGAGTAACTCATTTCCAGGAACTTCTCTACTCTCTTTTCCTTCTCTGCCATCAAACTGCCAGTTAGCTGGTAACAAGTTTTGTTTGCTGCAAGTAACACCCAGACTGTTTTATTATCAGCGCTTGTTCTTGTTTAACTCTTCCATCCGTAGCATTCAAAACATTTTAAAGAGGTGAAGAAACATTGTTTACCCCTGTTCTACCGGTGGGAAAACAAAATCACACAGGAACAGGATAATTTCTCTTGCAGATGCGTGGCAGTGCAGGTCTCTCAGCTTCCACACCAAGGCATTGACAGTGACCTCTGCTTGCAGGTTAAGAGAACGTACAAAATGGCCAAGAAATGCTCCCTCATTTATTTGAATTAGGCCCTAAGCACCATTGCCAAAGTTGAAGAAGAAAGTAATAATGAACTGATTTTCAAAGCCTCATGAAACAACAGGTAAAAACATGCATGTGAGGGATGCTGCTTTAGAATAGCAAAGAAGCTTTTCTAGCAGTTAAGAAGGACGCAGTAACAAGATGGAAATTGTAGAGACCACACAGTAGGAATAGATAAGCAGTCTACACTGCTCTAACACCTATTTTGAGATACGATTGCATCTCACTAGACAGCTTTTCAAAGAAAAATGTGCAAAGATCTCACAGATTTTCCAGAAGTGGTCACCTGTTTAAGCATTCCTTGTATGCAGATGAAAACAATTTGGTTCCTGGACAGACATCCACAGACACTTGATTACAAATTACCACAGGCAGTGACAAGTGTTCGTGAAACTTACGGTGACCATTTCCACCAGTGAACCTCAATGGTATAACCATGATTTGTCTTATCTGGGAACACCACAAACTGATGTGTTGGCTTTTTTTCCTGACTTATTTTCAAGTGAGTACAGAATATCCTTGCCCCAAGAACGACTGTAGCTTGGTGTGCTTGTATTTAAAAAATCATGAATATAAAAACCTACTCTTGCTTCAATATACTCCCTCAGTCTTATTATTCACACACAGTAGAAATTTTTTTTCTGTATCCTTAAAACAAAGTATTTCATCAGCGATAGGAAGTTTATGATGTGCATCATGACCCCCCTATAGCTCTGGACAGAAAACTTATGTATTTCTGAGGGGGTGCATGCTGGCCCCCACAAGGTGGTGTCCTCTGGCCCCTGGGAGTGCAGTCTGGTAGGCAGCCTAGCCAAATGGGGGGTCTGGCCACCTACGTGCTGTGTGCATTTGCCCAGACCTCAGTCAGCACTGGCAGGGCTGGTTAGGTCAAGTGCAATGCCACACAAACACCTGCATGGAGCTGGAGGATGGAGGTGCCGGTGGGTGAAGGAGCATTGCTACCTCTGAGAGCAAGGCATTGCTGCAGGCTGGAGTGGGCTGCAGAAGCAGGGATCTCACCTTGACCATTGCAAGCTGGGGGAATATCCCTAAGGACTGTGTTTTACCACTGCTTTGGGAGGTTTATGGACTAGCTGTGTGCATAGCTGTCATGGCCCTGAGCACAGGATGCCCATTTTCACAACGAAGTAGGGATATCAGTTTTTTGATCTGGAGTTTTCATGCCTGGCCATCCCACAGCAGCCTGAGCAGCCAGGAGGCTGCAGGGACAAGAGCTGGGCTCTGCTCCGAGGTGTATGGCAGGAGACTGAGAGGCAGCCAGCATGGACTGAAACAGGGGAGATTTAGGCTGGAAATAAAGAAAAACACTGTCACCCCAGGGCCAGTCGCAATTAAGCCCCGAAGCAGGTTGCTCTGAGTTGCTGTGGCAGACGACACCATGGTGCAGCTCAGAGAGCAGCTGGCATGGATCACTTGCTTGGGATCGTCCCAGCCCAAGAGCTGGTGAGCAAGTGCCCTTCAAGTCTCTTGCAAGTACCTCTGCCCTGAAGCCTTTAATCCAACTTATAGAGGTAATGAAACAAAAAGGTGCAGGTGCCACCACTAACACTCTGGAATTTGCTCCCTTCTGGGTGCAGTTTCTTGGGTGGGGGTGATGGGGGGAGGAGAAAAGGAAGAGGAATTTTGTTTATTGGCTTGGCCCCCAGGCCTTGGGTGAGTGGGCTCGGAACATTGCTTGGCCTTGCCAGGGCTGCTCAGGCAGGTATTGTTCAGTAACTTCCAACACTACAGAAGTAAAAATACAGATTGGCTAGCCTATGGTGAAGATGCTAAAACTGACACACTGGCAGGTGTTTGAGTGGTAGCCAGCTGAACTGAAGCAAAGCTGAACTATGAGGGAATAACAGCACATCCAGAAAATCATCTCTGATGGGCAGAAATTCCTAATTTGTCCTGAGCGTCACATCCCTGCAGAGAGGGTGCTGCTGGCCCACCAGCTGGCCACCTGCTACCTTCTTGGTGAGAAGCAGTATGCTGAGCACCCCTAGATATCCTGTGCTTTTCATTTTCTTTGAAAAAATAAAAATATTATCTGGGGCATGACTTTTCAGTAAAGGCTGCTGATTTTCCTGTGAAATAGTTGAGTGCCATGTTATTGCACATATTTTTAGTTCAAAAGAGGGTGCAATCTGCCAGACCTTCTCTGTTTTGATGAACAAATTTAATTCAGTAGTGTCTGTTAAAAGAAGGCTTGTATAGTGGGCCTGAATTCAGAAGCAGATAGGGAAAATCTGATAGTTAAATCATGTGGACCTGGCCATATTTAAGAAGAGTTGTAAGATATATCTTTTTATCTATGGTATGGAGTACTGATAAGTAACTTCTTACTTATTAGGAAGACTTTGTGCAACAAGTTCTAGCACTGATTGGAAGACTCTGTCCTACTGGCTGATCTGATCTAGGAAGTTAACAGGTGTGGTCCTTGTGTATTTTATGTTTGGCTAATTTGCTTAAGCATTTGCCACTGTCAGTATTTTCTTTTCATTTCTTCTACCATGATTCAGCAGCAGTGTTTTTAGATATTGGCATAACATGTGGTTTATGACCTGCCCCAGGGATCACATTAAAGCTACTTGTGCAAGTGAATGCATAAACATACATGAGTTTCTTAGAAAGCTGTTCGCTAGTGAAATGCATAGCCATGGGAGAAGTGAATAGCAGAACCTGGCTTACCTGCCTGTATGCATAATGTTCGTTCTCTGCAGGAAAACCTAGCAGCCCAGATTGTCAAAGTCAACTAACGTTGATTTCTAAAATGTCTTTATTTAACAAGACCTTATTTACTGCAAAATATACTCTATTAAAACAATACAAAACTATCTGACAATAGAGTTGAAACTGAAAGCAGTACTTGAAGATGACAACCTGTATTCACAAATACAAGTTTTCTGCACACATTTCAATCACAGTGTAATGTGATGCAGTGCTTCACGACAAGATCCTGATGTGCAGATGAAAGGATCTGGCTTCTGCCTGTCATGTGGATTCAGAGGCTGTTCTTTAAAAAAAAATAAATCTTAATAGACTTTGAGCTTGTTTTAAGATGGATGCTTACAGTCTACATTTGAGCACACATGCTGGTGCCTTTTCTTTAACCTACTGCACACATGATACTCTTATCAAGGACTACACGAACAAGGCTTCTGGGTCATCTGAAGCGTGAAAGAAATTATCGTTTTCTTGGTGTTGACAAAATGGCACAAAACACACAGGGAAAAGCTTGCTTTTAAGACAGATCAGGGTAAGCACTGGTGGAATGGAAGCTTTTAGAATGGCTTGCAACAGGACTTTGAACAATATGACATATTCTGTAGCTGTGTACAGTGTCTTAGCTGCAGACATTGCTTTGCTACGTTTGTTAACCTGTTCTTCAAGTAAGCCACCTTTCATTCCCACTCCTTGGGACACCTCCTAAGTAGCCACCAGCAATTTGATCTTGAGATAGGGAATACATTGTTTAGAAAAGAAGGATCTTGAAAGTAAGAAAAACATACAGCTTTTAACAATCACGTTGTTACATTTAAGACACATACTCAATTGAAAAACAAGTGTTAGAAAATTCTCTGTATGACTCCAAGCACAAAACATGCCGTAATTCTCCCCACCTTTTCCCCAAGAAGAAAGAATGGCATACACATAAGTATAAAATGATGTGAACTTTTGAAGCCCACATGGGGTCTTGTGAGTGCCTGTCTGTCTCACGCATCTTAATGGGAGTTGCATGAGTACAACAGAGGAGACAAAACCTTGGCCTAGATACCATGTATTTGTATCAGCAGAGATGGAAAGAACTGAATGGTTGCATGTAAAAAAACTGGATGCGTTTCCTATGCTACTTGTACGTATTCAACTACGTTGTTTTGAGAGTACTCATTGCTGCTCAAAAAGCCTTGACTTATTTACAAAATACAAATCAAATGGCATTTCCTGGCATTTAAATGATATCGGGACACCAGACCCATTAAGGTACTATAACAAAAAAAGTTCATGGCTACTGGACTGTTATTATAATACTTTGTTCCTTGAGACTTACCAGCTACTCTGCTTGCTCCGTCCCACCCAGGAACTGGCTCTGCTGTTCGTGAATAGAGGGTTGGGAGTTCAGGGATCTGGGAGTAAATGTAATTTACTGCATCTGGTGTCAGAGAACAGGAAACAGTTAGATTCGTGCTACGAGCCCCAGTGGCTTCATTGCTTAGACAGCAGAGTGTTGTCAGCCCTGACCATAGTTACTGGAGCTTTGTACTAGATAATTGGATCAAAGCAAACAAAATGCAAAGTCACTGTCGTGTGATTGGTGTTCAATAGACTAGCTGAGGCAGGAGGGAATAGGTCCAGATGACTCAAACCTTATGTCAGTTGAACACATAAAATTATTTGTCAGGAGGTTCTGGATTTATCAAGTCCATGACCTTTAAAATGGCGGGGAGTGAGGGGGAAGGTAAGGAACAAACCTAACGTGATACCCAGAATACCTGACTTTTCAAATAGAGATATAAAAGCCTAAAAATGCTAGTGTTCACAGAATGGGATGAAAGACCAGCTCTTTTGCACTGTTTTTTTCCAATATTATTGAACCAGCATTTGGCTTTTTGTTCTTAAAGCTGAAATTTAGCTAATAATGAAATCACATATAGATACTGATAGGGTGCCCATTGTGACCTTCAGTAGGCATTAAGCGCCTGCCAGTTCTGTAGTGCAGAACAAACATTAACATTCATTAACAGACCCTGAACTAGTAGAAAGCTATCTTAAAGGACTGACTTGTTTTACATTTGAGGTTATGGTTGTTTAGCATAAGCTAAATATGTTCTTTAGAAGTGACACTAAAGAAATTTACAAATATTTACTGGGAGATGTTTTGTGGCTGAGTTAAATATAACTAGACAGTGTGTATCGTTCTACTAGGATTCAGTGGCTGAGCTAAAAGCAGAGCTCAGAGGAGAGATGTGCAAATAACCAACTTACAGTTCAGGCACGAAACAAAAACAAAAAAGAAAAAAAAAATCACTTTCTTTCCTATCAGCTGGAAATGTTTTCAGTTTTGTATGGAAATGGTTAGATTTCTGTTCAAACATAAGATCCTATCTGGTGTGAAACAGAGCATTCCTTTTCCTCCAAAAGTAATTTGCTGGTACAATGCATGTAATTTAAGTTGTCAAGTCCTCAGTATGGCCCGGTCCATGTGTCAAGGTAGGAGGCAGAATCTGCCTTCCTTGGTGCCTCTTGTTGTTATAAGCAGGTGAGATAGGAAGACCAGCGCAGACTGTAAAAGTGAACTGGTGAAAGGAGGGAGAAAATGAAATGTCCTGTTGTTGACTGCATCTGGTGAGCAGAGATACTTTCATTACATTCCCTAAGGGCTAACACAGTTCTCAGAAAAAAACCCCTAGACCTGGTGGCATCCTCAGCAAAGACATGATGTGCCACCTCTAATTGCAAAGTGTGGTCCTTTGGCAGGAAAATTGGCCCTGGTATTAGTGAAATGGTTTTACTGCCTTAACATCCTGCAGCGGCCACCAGTGCTGCTGGGTGCAGGAAGGTAGTAATCACAGTCCCCAAGAAGACACTCCAACCCTCCATGGAGCACTGTAGGTGACTCAGGTAAGGAGGTCTCCTTTCCCCCTTCCTGCATCAGAGTAGGATGGCACAGAGGCACAGTGCAAATTCATTCCAGAAAGCCATGAAGTTAGTATGTAAGTTCAGTTTGTAACAGATGAATTTGAAGAAAAACTTAGCCATGGAAATATTATTTTATTTCATACTTCAGTGGACAAATGGCAGTCTTGGCAAATGGGCTTTTATGTTTTCAATGCATACTGTTTCCTCAAAGTTTTTTATTTTTAGCAGTAGAGCCCAGAAGAAATAAATGTTTAGGACACAGCTGACTGAGCAACGGCCAGCAACAGCTGCTTTCTTTTGCAGGGTTTCTTGCCTCTGATGAAAAATTGGTACAATGCTTGGTGTTGTTATTCTGGGAAATATCACCAGCAAATGAGCAGGCCATTATTGAAAACTGAAGTAATTTCTCAGAAGAAAGAAGTGGGCACTGTGTTTCTGGGCCAGAATAAGAAGGCACTTCGTGTTCTAGAAATGGCAGAAATTTAGTAATTATTCACTCCATAGAGTGTAATGCTGGAGTAGTAGTTTCAGTACACACTCATACAGCGACTTGAGTGACAGACCTATCTGTCCACACGTGGGTGTAATCAATGCAGACTTGTGCTGCTTAACTAATCATCCTTAATTCTTTAGCTGTCCATGAGAATAAATAGGAACAGTTAGAGTACAATTCTCATGCAAGGGCACTGCAGGAGGCAAAATCCTTTGCAAGCATTTGTTTTTCCCCAGAGCCTGTACAAGGAACTGAGATGACCATCCTGGCAGCTAGCATCACTGATATCTAGCAGTTAGCAAGATCAGTTGTACAGCTTGATGGTGAAGCTCTCACTTTGATGTTGTACATGTCTGTGGACCTTAGTAAGTTGGTTTTTTTTTGCCTCCTGCATTAGGAGACAATACCTAGGTAAGTGTTAGGTGTTGTTAATATTGACTCAGCTTAGAAACTTCTCTGGATGTTACTTAGAATAAAATATTAAAAAATTAGCTTCAGGGCTCCTGACAATCTCTCATTGTCCAGAGAAGGTAACACCAGGGTGAGGGTGGTGGGATTCTCGTGTACTTTCTTCAGAAGCAAGTGGTGGTGCCATGTGTCAGAAATTAGGTATTTGACTAGAAGTTGGGGCTTAGTTGATTCTGCCAGTTCCTGTCTTGTCCACCCCCCCAAAGAAACGAACATGCTCATTTCCCTTTATCTCACTGGCAACAAGGTCTGTTTCATCTGGCACCTTTAAAAAGGATATAAGAGATCAATTTTACAAGCAGCGGATAAGACACAAATTAGCATTTTGTTCACATGAGAACTAAGACAGAATATAAGTTTGAACTGACTACATTCAATATCTTCATTTCAACCTTTGCTGAGTTATTAATATCTAAGGATGCCACAAAACATGTCCTGTGGCTTTTTGTACTGCTTGCAACAAACTGTGTTTTAGGACTATGGCACTCTTCCATATTATCAAACAGACAAGTGCTTGGGAAAGCATATGGGACAAGATAATCCTTCAAGGGTGCTTACACAAAACTAAACCTTCAGAACTGCTCAGAATAGCTCCCACGCAGAGGCTTGTGGCCAAATGTCAGACGAGCTCATTTTCCAAGGGCTGGATTATCTTTAAAAAGTCCGACTACCACTAAAATTAGTGGTAGGTCTTCTGCAAATACTGGCTTCCAGGGCAGAGCTATTCCACCTGCAAAGCCCTCTGGGGCTCTATGAGGCTACATCAGAGGGAAGAGAGATTACAACCCTCCCACCACATTTGTAAGACCACAAATGGAGGTTTAAGGAGGAAGCTTTGCTAAAAGCTGAATAGCCTGGCTCTTAGTGAATCATTCTTTAAATTAATGAACCTGCGGGGGGGTAGGGTACACAGCTGACACCTGTATATCCATAAGCAACAGGGTTGATAAGCGCACCTACCAGAGCAGTAAGAAATGCTCCCCAACACTTTCCAAAGGCAAGAACTCTAAGTTCAGCCACCTCAAGTGCATGTATACCTATGTGTGTAATCTGGGCAATGAGCAGGAGGAACTAAAGCTCTGTGCCTAGTCTGAGAGATGTCACAGGAATCACAGAAACTTGGTGGGAAAACTCACATGATGGGAAGACCACAGTGAATGGCTACAAACACTTTCAGAAAGATAGGCAGGGAAGAAGAGGAGGTGGAGTTGCACTTTATGTGAAAGAGAAAATTGAGTGTATAGAGGAGAGCTCTGGAGACCATGCCAGTTCTATTGAATGAATGCCTTTGGATCAAGTTTAGGGGGATTATCACCAAGGAGGATCTTATGTTAGGTATCTGTTACTGACCTCCCAGTCAGGATGATGAAGCCAACAAAACCTTACTTTGGTTGCTCGAGGAAGTCTCGGGCCAACAGAACCTGGTCCTCATGGGTGGCTTCAATTACCCAGACTTTTGTTGGAAAAAAAAAAATTGGTGCTGTCCATCAGGTTCCTAAAATGCATTGCGGACTGCTTCTTGCTATAGATGCTGGACATGCCAATTAGGAGCAGCACATTGTTAGATTTACTGCTTGCAAATGGAGAAGGCTTACTTTACAATGTAACTACCAATGACAGCCTTGGATACAGTGACCACAATGTTGTGGAGTTTAAGATCCTGCTGAGCTCACTGAAGACCAGTAGTAGGACAAAGACCCCAAATTTTAGAAGACCCAACTTCAATATGATCAGAGCCCAGCTGCAAGGGATTCCATGGGAAGCATCCATGGAGGGCAAAGGAACTTGTGAGTGTTGGGAGTTATTCAAGAGTGCTTGCTGAAAGCACAAGAACAGTCCATCCTCTACAAAGGGAAAGGAAGAAGGCTGAACAAAAGACCACCCTGGCTTAACAATGAGATTTTAGGTGCAATTAAAAGCAGAAAAGCAGCATGCTGGCTACAGAAAGGCAGCCAAATAGCCATTGAGGATGACCAGAACCTTGCTAGGGCAGGCAGAGGTGCCGTCAGGAAGGCTAAGGCTCAGCTAGAACTGAAATTGGCCAACAATGTCAAGTGCAACAAGAAATGGTTCTTCATATCTATGAGGAGTAAGCAGAAGCACAGGGAGGACATAGGCCCATTAGTGAACAGGGCAGGGAAACTAGTCACTAACAGTGCTGACAAGGCAGATACTCTCAATACCTTCTTTGCTTCTGTCCTTACTGCTGTAGCTGGACCCCAGAGCACAAGATCAAGTAGCTAAGACAACTCATTTGTTGACCTGCCAGTAATGGAGGAAGGGCTGGTCTGCAGCCTCTTGCAAGGGCTCAACCCACATAAATCCATGGGTCTTGTCGGAATCCACCCCAGGGTGTTAAGAGAAGTGGCTGACTTTGTTGCAAGGATACTATAATATTTGAAAATCACGGACATCAGAGGATTTCCCTGATGACTGGAAGAGGGAAATGTCATACCCATCTACAGGAAACAACCAAAAGAGGACCCAGGAAACTAGAGGCCCATTGGTCTTCTTTCCCTGGGAAAATGATGGAGTGAGTCCTCCTAGAAACTATTACAAACCAAATGAAGCAAGTGATTGGGAAAAGCCTGCATGGATTTACCAAGGGCAAATCATGACAGACTAACCTGATCACCTGTGCTACAACAAAATAACATCTTCCGTTGACATGGTGAGAGCAGTGGATGTTGTTTACTTGGACTTCAGCAAAGCTTTTGGCACTGTTTCCCACAGTCTTCTCCTGGACAAACTAGCAAGACACAGGTTGGATGAGGGGTCTGTGAAATGGGTAGGTATGAAAATGGCTAACAAGCTGCACTCAAAGGGTAGTGATCAATGGTTTTTACTCAGGTGGCCAGAGGTGCTGTAATTGTGGCAGCCATAGATGCAGATCACATTAAAAAGCTAAACCCCTTCAGCTGAAAAACTATCACTGATGAGTTTTTACAGGTCATGTGGAAAGCACTCTATGAAGATCTGTACTGGACTCCTCTGAGGACATGCTTGTCTGTTTTGCTGTTGGGCTGCATAGCTGGTGATGATCAGAGGAGAGAAAACCAGAAGACTCTCTAAGCAATGTGCTGGGAACTAAACCATCCAGGCCAGGTCCAGGTTTCCAGAGCCACATTTTTGCCAAATATATGCTAATACATACCAAATTCAAACATAGATTTGTGCAAACTATAGAGTTACTGCAATTGTGGCTTCTGTATGTTGGCTGAAGTAGCAGCACGTAATTTGCATACCAATGGCCAAAGATTGCAGAGGACGAATTTACCCCTGAAGCAAATTCAGCAGTCAAGGGAGTTACAGCAGATCTTAATGTGGCTTTTGTTTTATATACACATTGAGCCATAAACATATGCACACGTGGAGTAAGAGCTCTCTCCTTTCCATTTGTTCATTACAGCATGCCTGGTTTTGACTGCAGACATGAGCAGCAGCAAATGATGTCATTCCTAGCATCATCTCAGGCCTTGTTTGATGTAGAGCTTGTCACTGACAAGCCCCCAAGGAGCTGGCAGAAGCACAACTGCAGGTGACAGGGCCACAGCCCCCAGCCTCAGCATTTCTGCTCTGCTTTCTCTTACACAGTGATCTACGAAGGCAAAGTGTGTTCATGTCCTGGAAAACATGGGATTTGTGTTTATTGTGCCTGGATAACTTCAAGCTCAGAAATGCTCATTGCCAAACACAGCTGTTTTCTGGGAAGGGTAGGAAGGACAGAGAGTCACTTGATTAGCCACTGGTGCTCACCACCACTTTTCCCCTTCCCTCGCAGTCTTCACCTGGACCCCTCTGGACTCTGAACTCCCTGCAGTTGTGCTTTCTGCACACTCAAAAGCTCTGTCACCACCATATATATGGCACAAAAACACACACAGAGACACAATGGTGAGATAAATCACTTTCTGTCATCGTGTTTAGAATAAAGGAAGGGATGGATGCAGAGCAAACTAATATGAGATTTATGGACTCAAAGTCTTTCAGGATGTGGCAGCAATTGAAGAAATTGCCCCAACAGGTTGGTGTTAGTTTGTGTCTCTGTTTTACACAGCCTTCCTGTATTATCCAATGGCTTCTACCATTTTCCTCTGTAGCAGGTGTTACAGATGATTGCCAGCCAGATGGCTGATCTGCTGCAACAAAGCAAGTCCTACATGTTTTTGAAAGAAGGAAAAATCTATGGTACCAAAGGGCTCGCAGCTAGCAATGTACGTGTTTTCTTCCTGCTCTGATCAGCTACCCTCCCAGACTGTTGTCAGAGAGCAGAAAACAGAGGACCTGCTCAGCTTTCACCATGTGAAGATGTATGGTCACATTACACCCACAGTGGGAGGGCTAACAGGACAGCTTGCAGCCTCAGTCATCCCTAGAGGAGCAGAGTACTGCACTGCTTTGTGGATGACCTGGGCCTGCCTCAGCCCACAAGGACCAGCTGCCGAGAGGAAGAGACAAGATATCTAAAGGAAGTGGTCTGGAAGAGAAGAGGTACTGATTAACTTAGCTATAACCCTGCTCCCTCTGCTTGCACATTTATTCTGGAAGCACTCTCTTCTCTTTGGCATAATCTTGCAGTTTTCTGTTACCCTTCAGAAATCACGAGCTATCCTTGCTTCTGTCTCATCTGTGACGGAGGGATCCACTGAAAGCAGGCAAAATCTGGAGAGCAGTGAGGCTCCTCTTGAACCCAATGAAATACTACATTGCTACAAGAAAATACCCTTGGGGACACTACCTCTTTGTATTTGCTAGCTGGGGCTTCCTTTGGTTCCTGTTTTATCACAACATGGATGAAGAGGCAGACTGCATCTTGCAAGAGTCATAAAAGCTCCTGTGCACTTTGGGTGCTAATTCCTGTAGGCACCATTCCTCTTTTGGAAACTCACCAACAACCATGGTGAAACTCTGCGTAGGAACAAAATATTTGCCATTCTGGATTTTTATTTACTTTGTAGTAGCCAGTTTCAAATGCTCCAGGAGGAAGGAAGAGTAAGTTCTTACCATGGAGCATCCTATCTGGGACTTTTTTTTTTTTTTTGACAATGGCATTTAATGTAAAACTTGAATTACATTGCTAACAGAAGTGAAAATTTCTGAACTAAATCTTCGAGTTAAAAAGACAACCTTCTTACTAAGTAATATTAATCACCTCAAAATGACAGCTCCAAGTCAGCTCATATACTAAATATTAACCTGCCATTATGTCCCAGTGCTTTAATGTTAGGATCATCCTACATATCCCTCATCTGTACTCACAATACAGTTGGGCATGGCTTTGTCAGCAGCTGGAGGAGCTAGTCTTGACCTCAGTATTTTGAATCTCGTCAGTTCAAAGACATGTACTGAGAATGAGTGTCTAGAGCACAGATTTATCTGCAGATGGATCAGCATGATATCCTTCCTGGGTCCTAAGGGCCCTGGAGAAGCACTACAAGGGTCTCTCTTACTTCCTGGAAATCAACCACATTATTTGCTCACTCAGACACCTCAACTTATAGCTTAGTATTTAGACTGATCATGCATAGTGTGACACTGAGTGTACAAAGTAGGAATTATTACATCCTCATCCACCCATGCAAGGTTTTCCTTCTGTAAGAATCATCACACAGAGAGTATCATTCATCAGTGAAGTAATCTAATTTTAATAGTTGTTCCTGTATATTAGGAATAGTCCTCATTGTATTTAACTGTTTATGAACAGAGCTTGAGCACATACAATGGAGAAGATTGACCACTGAGAGGTGAAAAGGAGTCTGCAGTGCAGGGCTATCATGTGGTGAAAGGGGCCAATAACAGAAGCTGTACGATGTCTGTTTTAAGTCATCCTTGCTGTTCTTTCCCCTTGCTTCACAGAAGAGGTGGAGCTCTGCCAAAGGAGTACTGTTTCACCACAGTAGTGATGTTTGTGCTTGCACTATAGCAATACCAAAGAAAAAGGCTATGGCTCTAGCAATAAATCAGAAACATATAATGAAGAGAACAACTCCCATGCTGTAAACCTTTACAACAAAGCTATAGTAACAACTCTTGTTAAATCCAAAGCTATACAGTAATAAAAAGGCACTTACCACCATCCTGGTGTGAGAAATTCTGCGAAGGGAAAAAATAAGACATTTGGTTAAACCTTTTATATGTGAGTATAATTTTAATGAAGTCTTGATTTTTATGCTAGGCTCGCTTTTATGGTTCTTTGTAATTTTTAAATGGGTAACTAGGGATGTGGCTCCTCAGGCTTAGGTGCCATTAGGGGCTGAGGGAGAGGACATGGTGTAACTAAAAGGAGAACACTGCTGTTTGTTGCAAGCTGTAATGTTCAGAAGTACTTGTGGTGAATGCCACTATCTCTGGGTGCCACTGGGAGCAGGGAAGTTTGAGATGCCTTTCAGGATCCTGCTGACATCTTTCAGTGGGGCTGAAAGCTCACATTGTTTCCCTGCAGATAAGCTAGGGACATAGTCTCTGAAATCCCCTTTCAAAGAAAGCTGGAGTGGGAAGGGGAAATCCAAATAACCCAGTCAAAATAGATTTGACGCCTCTGTATCTTTTCTAGTCTTGTTCATCCTGGTTTGAGCTACGTGCTCTGCAGCTGCCCTCAATCTTCCCGTAAGTGCATGAATTATAGCTGCTGCTTTCAAACAATGCTAAGAGTCTACCTTGGTTTCAATCTGTGCTTGAGTGCCTTTTTTTTTTTTAATACCTTTTGCAAGTTGTCGAAGGATTTCTCAGTCTCCTTCAGTTTCTCCAAAATGATTTGTTCTTTGGCAGATATTTGGGATTCCTCACTTTCTAATTTCTGTATTTCTTGTTCCAGCCTGTGGAAGACATACAGACATGCACATACACACAAAAATAAAACATGTAAAAATTATTTCAGTAAGCCATTGTTTCCTAGGTATGAAGTAGCATTTCAAATGTCATCAGGAACAACTTTCACTCTTGTTATTCACAACCGGTTTCCTAGCACATGAAGGGTACGTGAATGATTTGTAAACCAGACATCTATTTAAAAGAGACACAGTAATTCTCTTATTATCCATTTCTGCAAAAGCATGTACAGATTGACTAAAAATACACCTCGGTATGCCTTCACCCCAATTCTGTAGCACCTCTCAGATATGCACTTCCATTTTAGAAATCACAGTACGGGATATAACCGTAAATGTGCAGTAATAATTGGAGGAATAGGTGTCTTCTAATGCTTCTGTACTCCAGACAATGAAACTGGAAATAGTTGTTGGAAGCTGGCAGTCAGCCAGTTGTGTTAGGGGTTTCTCTTGAACCAGTACTTTGCCCATTCCTGACAGTAAAACTTTGGGATACCTATCCATGCTTTCTACTGTTACCGCATGATACTGGGGACCCCAGAGGCTTCAGGTAATAAAATACACAGGCTGCTCAGAAAACAAACTTATCTTGCTAGGCAGTAAGCATTCAGTACTCTCATTTCTCTTGGTGAGACCTAATGGCACTCACTCCTTAAGGTGTGTTGATTGTGATTTAGGATACACTTTAAGCCGGGTTAGATTCTCCATTACTTTAACTCAAACCTCCTTTTATTGACATGGTTTATGCAGGTGCAGTAATATTCCCTCTCTCCCTCTATTTTTCCATGTACCACCATCTTTATTTTCTCACTTTTGACCAAAAAACCTCCATCCTGTAATATGAGCTAAGATGAACACTTTTGAGCATGGATACTTACCTAAAACTCGTCTACAGAAAGAACTGTAGCTTCTCACAGCTTGTTGGACCATATTTTTTTGAATGTGACAATTCAGCATTGCCCAGTACTTTCCTCACCCATGGCTGCTTGCTCCTGCCTTTCTGCCACCACTCCTCAAGTGAAGGATCAGTGCCTTGATCCAAGCCAAAGGGACATATTTTCGCTCTTTCCCAGCCCTGCTCAGCCCTGGACTTCATTAATGCTTGTTCGATCACAAGGCAGAGGGCGAGAAGAAGGTGACAGTGAGCAGCCAGGGAGGAGGGAGGGACGGATTGCTCCTTTCAGGGGCTTGACAGCGCGAGTTGCTTGTGAAATTCATGTGTCTAAATATACATGCAGGGGTCTAACTTAAGGCACCCACCTGGGAAATTTTTACCCACTTTCTAATTGTGCAAGGATGAAAGATGTGTGGCACTTGCTGATAATGCTTTTCATTAGAGGGAGGCAAAAGTATCACAGCCTCAAGTTGTTGCAGATGGAAAAAGGAAGATTTTGCTCTCCTGAAGTATGTGAATACTTAATGGTCTCAAATTTGTGGTGGCTTGTTGAACCGCTGTTTTTCTTTCTTAAAGGCAACTCCCTCATCCCCGAGTTGAAGTGGCTTAATTCCAGTGGTTTTAAAATGAACTGTTGGAAAGTTCTGCTCCAATCCATTTAATATTTTCTCCAAATCAATAAAAAAACTTAAAAAACGCAAAACATTTTGAAACAAAATATTTAGTTCTGCTGAAATGGAACAATCTGATACTGGATTGATATTCCCCCTCATGTTGTCATTCAGGAAGAATGCTTTCAAAAAATATTGTTTTATCTTGACTTTTCTTCCCAGGAAAATTTTAAAAATACCTAGTGAAGTGAAAAAATAATTTGTCACTGAGGTCAGTCATTGTCATACTCCTACTTAATGAATTTAGAAGTCAACAGGAAGGTGGCTTCTTTTGCTTCCCTATCCCTGGGGAACATTAGTAGATCCACATACATTTATACTTTGCTGATAAAGACATCTGAATTATTCTGCTGTGCTGTCTGCTGAAATTACATTGTGGAGCTGGGTGAGGTGGGGTTTACTGGTATATTTCTTTTCTTCCCAAGTTAATCACTAAGCAGCATTTTCAGGATACATATTCTGTATCCTGGTACATTTTGCTCGCTATATGATCCAGGAAAAGACTGTAAAATGGGAGTGCATAGAAGTCAGCAACAGCAAAATACAGGGGAAGAAAGAAGTCCTTTTTCTTTCAAATGAACTGGACATTAGTTAATAATTTATGACAATGAAAACACGGTGAGTATACGTGGTGTGAGGCAACTGATGTTGATGTGAGTAAGGTTATAAGCAAGTAGACTCCTTGTAATTTGGGGTGATCATAAGAGCACTATTTTTTGTGCACCAGCTTAAAACTGTAGAATGTTTGTCATGAATTTGGTTTGGTCATCCAGAGAAAGTTTCCTTCTAATGCATGCACATGTGCACTTGCACATGCACACCCAGCAACTGATTTGATTTATATTTTCTTACTTTCTGGCTACTTGCTCTTTTGTTTTTACTTGTTTATGCTGCCTTTATTCTCCTCTCCTGGTTCACTTCCTCAGTTTCTGCTTCCTTTGTGTCAGCCTACCCTCACCATTAAAACAAGTTGGGCAGATACAGCACTAGGTTACCCTACTTTGACAAGACATCTTGTGGGTTTTTTTTTTTTTTGTGAATCTCTTCTTCAGTTCCTTTTAGAAGTGGTATTAACAACAACTTGCTAAAGTGGAAAGGGATGGAGACATAGCTGCCAGTATTTAGAAACATGGGTGAAGCTGGTAGGGACACAGATTTCCTATGTGACACTGAATAAGAATGCATACAAACTTATCCCATAGGTGCAAATCGACCTTTTTCCACTGAAATCAGTGCAGGCAGACTGAGATTCTCCTAGGCGTTGTGTAGAATGGGTCTGAATACCTAACTGTGGCAGTAAAAATACAGATCATTCAGCCAGAAGGTACCTGTTACGTGGCACAGGGGTCATATACCAAGCATTAATATCCACAGGAGGTTGCTTTACACCTTTTTGCTCCATTTTATACCACTCTTGTCTGTACCCTCTAGGCTTAAAGGCTGAGGTAATGCTGCTGAAGTGCTGAGGTAACAAATACTCAAGGGTACAGTTTCCATGTGAGATGTTGTATACATTCATCAGTAAACCACCTGGGCACCACAGACCTCACTGGAAAATTTGGACCTAGAGTCTTCACCACTTCCTTTGGCCATTTTAGCTAGGGGCCAGCAATGTAAAAATTAAAATCATAATGCAAACTAAAGGTTATTTCACACATCTTATTTTTTTAGTGAGCTTCATATGATCAGAATTGCTGAGTGATAAGAACTGCCTGCTTTTTTGGTAACAAGAGACAACAGAGATGCAAATTTGGCCTGAAAACCAAAATGCAGTAATATCACACCTGTTTCGAGCAGCATGCTACATAATGGTTTAAATAGTAATAAATCCATTCAGAACGCACATGTACACATATGTACATGCACAAAGTGCCTACATTCTTCCTGTGTAAACCTGTTAAATATTGAATAATGTCCTTTTCTTCTAGCCCAGTTTAAAAAGGATGTGCTTTAATTGTCATCTGACACCTGGCAAGGAAACCTTATAATTCCCTTGTTCCTGGCTTCTTAGCAGATTTCAGGCTGGCATTTGAAAGACGGCCACAACAATAGTCAGTTAAATAAACAACTACATATCTGGAGTGCTAAAGGGAAAAAAATAAGAAACAAAACGGACCTCCAGATGACGTAGAAGTGGTGTAAAACAGACAGTATTCCTGCTTATTGGCCCAAGCAGTTAGCTGATCACAGAGATTTGCTAAACTGTTTATACAAGGAGTAAAAATGGCTCAGGGAGTCCAGAGTTGCTTTGGCATGAGTATGTTTTTTTCATTGGATGTACATGGAGCCCTATTTCCCCAAATATCACAGAAACAAATGGGAGATTTTGCCAGTCAGAAAGCCAAGCCTGCCTGGCTACTAGTCTGTCTGTCCTGTAGCTTTCTTTAATGGACAGCTGCCATAAGCACCTGAGGGTATAACATGATTTTCAGTGGGGCTGAGAGAAGAGCTGCCCATGTAAGCCAGGTGACCCTCCTGCTCACATTAATGGTGCTGGCCTCCTATAAAGGGGAAGAAACCACAAACAGCAGAAGGGATGCTGTCTCTTGGACAGTATTTTGCTGTTGTATGGGGACACCCTGATTCCTTGGTTAGTAAGATTAAAGGCTCGTAGGATAATTCAGGCTGGAAGTGACCTCAGGAGGTCTCTAACCTAACCTCCTGCTCAAAGCAGGGTCAGCCATTGAGATCAGATCAGGATGCTCATGGCTTCTTCTAGCTGGGGCTTGAAACTCCCTAATGATAGGGGGGTGGGGGGAATAAAAAAAAAAATTAAGGCTACATGGTCGGTAGCTATCAGACATCATGCCCTGCAAAATTCAGACCAGAACCATTCAGTACTGCAGGGAAGGGGGTGGAACAGACTGCTAAAGGAAGTCTGGTCTGTGTGTTTGGTGGCATTTCAACCTAACCAGGTGGCTATATGAGTGTAGGCAAGGCACCCAATGCAGTTTCTGAGAGGACTGGAGGCAGAAGCAGCAAATGAACCCTCCTGCAGAGACGCTGTGATCAGGGACCAAAGGAGCTGTTAGGCAGCACAGAAGACTAATTTAGGTGATAAAAAGGGGAGTTAAGAAGGGACATCTAAGAAGTGAAGAGGCAGAAGGAGATGTTTGGCACTGTGGTACGTACACATGTGCATTTATGTTTAGCACTCAGTACCCTGCAAACATTATGCTTGGATATAGGGCTCTGTTTTGTGTTACAGCCTGAAGGTACTGAATGCTCTTTCTCTAGGTGAAGGATTTCCTCTGTTTCTCATGCTAAGGTGTTGAAACCCGCAGACATGGGCTGTCATTTTCCTCTCTGCTGAAAGGCAGAGGCTGTTCTGGCACAAGGTGCCTTTACCTCGACCCCAGGAGGGACCCTGAGCAGGATCCTGCAGGGCACTCACACTGCTGGTGCAGAGTCACACTGCTTTG